GGTCCTCAGTCCGAGCAAGAAGTTTTATTCAGGTACAAGCTCTCCCTCCTCTGCGAGGACAGATCTGTATGTTCCTCCCCCCAATACCCCCCCCAATAGCTAGCAATCCAAAACAGTCCAGTGGAGCCTGAGTGGTGGGTGTTGCCTTCTGACACGCTTCCGGTGATGTCAGGGGGTGTGGCATATGCAAATAAATTATGCTAATGAGTTATGCTAATGAGCTCCTGCACCTCTTTTTCTACAAAATGACCCCTGCTGCCGCATCTCCTGCTTCTGCAGGCCGGGAGCTGTGGGGAATACTCCCCCCCCCCCCGGCGAGTATCACAGGTCCCGGCTCTTGTTTCTATCTAAACTGAAGTTTTCTGAGTTACTCTTTAAACAGAGCCATTCTTCACAATTTGAAGAATCCTCTGCATGCAAAAATACCAAGGCATGTTCTGTTTTATTAATAATGGCTGCAAATCTGAGAATGCTTTTTTTGGCATCTTGATATCCTTGTAAGTCTAAACCTGAGCAAATAGTGATCTGTCTGTGACAAAGGAAATATTATCAATTCCTCCACCCTCAAATCACATTCCTCCCATGCAGAAAAGAATACCAGACCAAGAGTGTGATCTGTACAATGTGTGTGTGTTAAGGGCTGTCAAGGCACTTTCAAATTATTGACTTTCAAAAACATCCTATCATTAACAGCCTTGCTCAGGCCTTGCAAACTGAGGGTGCCACCTTCCTTTACTGAGTCAATCCAGCTCATGTTGGGTCTTCCTCTTTTCCTGCTGCCTTCAACTTTAAATTACACTATTGTATTTTCCAGTGAATCTTGTCTTCTCATGTGACCAAAATACAATAGCCTCAGTTTGGTCATTTCAGCTTCCAGGGAGAGAGAGTTCAGACTTGATTTAATTTAGAACCTGTTGATTTGTGTTTTTGGTGGTCCACAGTATCCGTAAAACTATTCTCCAACACCAAATTTCAAATGAATCAACTTTTTTTCCTACCAGCGTTCTTCATTGTTCGACTTTCACACCCATACATAGTAATGGGGAATACTATGGCATGAATTATCTTGATCTTGGTCGCCAGTGAAAGATTCTTATACTTAAGGATCTTTTCTAGCTCCTTCATGGCTGCCCTTCCCCATCTCAATCTTCTTCTATTTCTTGGTTGTTGTCTCCCTTTTGGTTGATGATGGAGCCAAGGAATAGAAAATCTTGAACAATTCCAATTTTTTTCATCATCAAGCTTGTTAGCTGAACTGCCTTATCTATGACAGTGGCAAACTAAATTTAACATGAGTCCTTGCCAAAGTTTATGGAAGTCTGGCCACCCCAAAGAAATCCCTGTGAGAGACACTAGACTGGAGTTTTTCCAAAACAAATTGTCTTTTTACTGAATCACTATCACAATCACATACACGCAAAATCAGTCTCACATTCGCATACAATCAAGTTCCTTTAGAGTTACAGAAAGATATAAAAATAGTTTCTCTTTTACTTGGAGGTAGGTAGCTAGGTATCAGTTCCAGAAGTCTTGTCTGATGCAATGTAAGATAGGTGAAGAAAGTAATACCTAGGGATGTTAACTAAATCACACTTGCTAGAACCAGCCAGCAAAGTATGGATCTCTTTGGCTGCAGTCCAAGAGATCTAGAATGGACAAAGGGTTGTTTGATAGAAAGCTGGACTTTAGGGGAGGTAAAAGGATAAAGAGGACGATGAAGGGGGAAGGTGGCTAGCAAAGACCTTAATGCATGGTCCCTGCATTTTATACCCAAATGTTTGGGAAGGTTGGTAACCTTGTCAAGCTGGAAACCACCTGACTATCAGTCTGTCCCATACCTACATCTCATTGGTGTATGTAATGAGGGGCAGAACCTCTAAGGGTTGGGCCAATATTGAAATACTAGCTCTGTCTCAGGGTAAAGCCATCTGGTCAGGTGTGAATTCTGAGCATCATAATTCTCCTTGATGTGCAGATTGCTTTCTCAGGCAATCAAAGTGACATCTGCCAGGAAATGGCAATTCAGATGTAGATCCAGACGCGGATTGCATGACAGTGAGTCTCTCAGCAATGGTGGGGTTACTTCTCCTTAGTTAATGCTTGTGCTAACAATGGCTAAAATGTGCTTCTCTTTCCCATAAGGCTCTTGAGCTGAATGTGTGCAAACCTAATTAACATGAAATGCAGACAAGTGTTCCCTATGTGACATCTCTCACAATAGGTAATGCAAGCAGCTTTCTCTATGCCTATGGGTATACATGTGTGTTCACAGTTCATGTAGTGTGTTAGCACGTCTCAGTCCACAAAACACAAATATTGATCCATTCCTCAACGACCTTAAACTTGCACAATAGTCATTACTTTCTTTCTTTATGATACGTTCTGGATATAGATAGAACAGATAGGGCGTTCGAATACATCCTTGTCTGACAAGCTTTGCCGATTGGAAACCATTCTTTTCTCCATATTCTGTCCTAATAGTAGCCCCGTGTCAAGAGAATCAGTTGCACGGTGTATAGGACCTGTTATTATCTGAGACAGGACCATGGTTGTCATGGAAGGCATGAAATCTTGAGCCACTCCTGACAAGACAGCTTTGACATGCATATTGAACATAAGAACATAAGAGAAGCCAATGTTGGATAAGGCCAATGGCCCATCCAGTCCAACACCCTGTGTCACACAGTGGCCAAAAACACCACGTGCCCTCAGGAGGTCCACCAGTGGGGCCAGGACATTAGAGGCCCTCCCACTGTTGCCCCCTCGTGAAGCACCAAGAAGACAGAGCATCCCTTGCCCCAGACCGAGAGCTCCAATCTATACCTTCTGGCTAATACCCACTGATGGACCTCCACTCCACATGCCCATCCGATCCCCTCTTAAGAACATAAGACAAGCCAATGTTGGACCAGGCCAATGGCCCATCCAGTCCAACACCCTGTGTCACACAGTGGCCAAAAACACCACGTGCCCTCAGGAGGTCCACCAGTGGGGCCAGGACATTAGAGGCCCTCCCACTGTTGCCCCCCCCCAAAAGCACCAAGAAGACAGAGCATCACCTGCCCCAGAAGTCGCCCAGGATAACCAGCCTAGGAATCCTCAACCCTAGGGA